TCTTAAACACCATTCTCCCTTTATGTAGGAAGATACAGTAGCTGCTTTTATGGAGATCATATCTGATAATTCAGCATATATAGTATACTTCCGGGCATTGGCCAACCTCTAATGAAGAGCAGCTAGGAAGAATCTTGTCTTGGAGGCAGCTCTTTCCTTAGATGCCATTCTAGGGTATCCTGAAACTTTTTGAGAAGCATTTAGTATGGATCACTCTGGGAAGATGGAAATATTAGAAGGACTCCAGGACTGACCCTGTGTGGCCTTTCCTCTGTCCTTATTAACTCATTTACACATTTACTTCCCATTCCAAATTCTGCTTCAGGTCCCAATCAAATGAACCACAGCTGGAAAAAAAATCAGGGACTAATTGATGTGCTAGAATATAATATCTGGAAGTAGTTAATTTAGTATATTTTCAAACAAAAGGCAATTTTGTTTTTTTTCCAAAGAGATTATTTGATGCAAAACCTTAAATTGTTATTTAGCTTTTTTTTGTCAAAATGAATCACTTTAAAATATCGATATCTATGAGATGGAACATTCCCACTCTCTCGGAACTGATGACAAATGTATAATCTGTGAGTGCCCCTTTAGAGAGCCGCACCAGCTGTCAAGATGAATGCCTCCATTCTCCCATTCTGTTCCTACACCAGATAAATGAGTTCCACTCTGGGAACATCATGATTTCTAGCCTACCTGATATGCTTTTATCACTGTCCTTTCTTCTGCCCTACAGGTGTCACAGTCTGGGAATTAATGACATTTGGATCAAAGCCTTATGATGGGATTCCAGCCAGTGAAATTTCATCCATCTTGGAGAAGGGCGAGCGTTTGCCTCAGCCTCCAATCTGTACCATTGATGTGTATATGATCATGGTCAAATGTGAGTTCAGTTCTTATACATGCATGTATAACCCATAGGAATAAGAAAGAAGGTGGTTACAGTTTATGATATGTTTGCAGAATGCTTTTTTCATGTGGCTCACCTGAAAGTATAGCCTTGCATTGTAGGAAAAGAACGGTGTCCCTGTAATATGTTCAGCTATCGCATGCTACCTACTATGTTACACTGCTGCTATCACAGCTGCTACAATGCAACTTCATGATTCTGTAGCAACATCAATATAGCAGAACTGCTGCAAGTTTCATCATGCTTCATCCTGGGTCAAAAATAGGGTGATTTAGTTAACTTGTGTTGCTGCAGGCTCCTGCAACACTCACACCACCACTTTTACAGATGTTTGCCCATACACTGACATTGTTTCCACCCATGAGTCGCAGAGTATGTTTGAGGACATTCAGAAGCTGCCCACTAGATGGCATTTAAACACTTTAATAATCAAGCAAAATGCACAAATTCCTGAGAGTGACTAGCTTTTTCTTTGAATTAAAGTTTACTGCTCAGTTGGTTAGAGCATGATGCTAATAACACCAAGGTTGCAGATTTAATCCCCAGTTGGACTAGATGATCTCTTGAGGTCCCTTCCAGCCTACTCCTCTGAGATCTTTGATCTATAATCTAACATTATGACTCATCCACAAAGGAGCAGCCTGCTCAAATGAGCATCTGATTTATCTAATAGAGAAACTAAAATTATTGCTTAATTTTATAGCCTCCCCTAATGCATGACAGTAAAACATTTCTATAACTGCCATGCAGAAAAAGCCCTGGCAGTGATAGCTTAATCCCAGGACTTCAAATTATGCTAGTTCTACAAAAATTAAACTTAGTAAAGATAATCCAGGTGAATAAAAATAAAGATTTCAAACACAATTTTTGAAGTAAGTTATCAGCCAAGTAAAATTAATGTTTCTAATGAAATCTAGACATACCAAAGGGTTCAACTCTGTTCCCAACAAAAGCAACTAATAGCCAAACTGTTCTCTTTTAAAACACAAGCTCAATGTCACCTTTTCCTAGAAGCACCTAAAATCTATAAGCACTTTATCAACACTAAAATTCCCCATGATTCTCATTCTACTTCTGTGTATACCCGTCTTAGTCTTAACTAGTTTGAGCAGAAGGTCATTTTGTCTCATGCCTAGTATTTGAATCCATGTACAACCAGGCCTTCTCTGTCTGTCTGTCTCACCTGAGTGAAACAGTGTAGAAGGCATTTTTAGGACATGCTTTATAGACCACTCTCCTCAAAGTGCTGCGGCAACCTCCTTTTCCTTTAAAACATGGTAGTGGTATTCATCTCAAAGTGTCTCAAAGAAAGTTCAAGTCCTTCCTTTGCCAGAAGGGTTTCTGACTTGCATCTTCACCTCTCTGGGGGAAGTGCCCTAATCACAATGGCATGAATGACTGGTGCCTCCTGAGACGGGGTGCGCCATGGTGGCGAGCAAGGACCACCCGCAGATGCTGGTAATGGTGCAAGCGGCAGTGAGCAGGGACCACCCTCAGACGCGGTGGCGGGGAGGTGTTGGTGAGCAACGGCGGAATCAGCAACAAGTGGGGGGCGAGCAGTGACTGCCTGCAGAAGCCGGCATCGGCCAATCTCAGTGGGGCACGTGCTCCCCCACGCGTTGCCTATACACAATGGTATATGCTGTTTGGGAGACAGGCACCCTCCAATTGAAGCTATGCCACTTTGCCTAAAAGAAAATTCATTGAATCAGAGGGAGAACAAGAGGGAATGTGGCTATCTAGCTTAGTGGCTGGGGCACACACCTGTAAAAGAAGGGAGTCGGGAGTTCCAGTCCCTGCTCAGAAAGTGTTTCTGTATTTTTATCCTATGACTGCTTTATGTGAAATACATAACTACTCCTTGGAATTGATAACCTGCTCCCTTTCCTGCTTGCTGGATTTTGTGGATGCTGTTTGGAAGTACCTGGGCATTGTTCAGAGAGCATAAGCAACTTCTCCCTCCAAAATGATGTTTTGTTCAGAAATTCAGCTTTTTTAATTTTAGAAAAAAGTTAAAGGGATCCCCAAAATGATTTTTTTTAACACATGGAATAAAATTGTTTTATTGGACCAAAACAAAATATTTTTGGTGTTTTTGTTTCAGCTAGAGCAAAAATATTTTCAGGCTGAACTAAAAAAACTTTTTTCAGTTTGGCCAGCAAACCGAGAAATCAGTTTCCACACAGTTTTGCTTCTGCAGCCCTGTCCAGAGCATTTGCATGAAATCTGCACTTCTATAAATCAGAGCCGAATTGAACCAATAGTGAGGAAGGGAGGAACCTGCCTGACCCCCATTGTGGATCTGAAATTGAAATAGCTTTCATGGTTCCTAGTGTGTGGGGTGAGGAGCACTGGGGATTTGCATGGCATCGGATTCCCTGCCTGTCCTCAGTCACCTGTACACCATTCCCTTTCCTGCCCTGCTAGCTGCTTTGGGCTCTCCTCTTTACTTTGGTGTAGGGGCCTAGATTTCCCTCTGATCAATGTTTATGGAGCCTCTGGATCCAGTGGTGTGTTAGCAAGCCTGCACACTTGAGACAAAATTTGGACTTGGTGGCTCTCAGAGATGTTCTTGGCCCTTAAAGAGAGCAAAGTTAAAGGAGGTTTCTCCCAGCAGGTCAAAGCTATGCAAGCAATATTTCTACAATATCTGTTATTTATTTGGTTTTAAGGATGAGTCAGGGGTGTTGTTCTGAAATGCCAGGAACAAAGGGGGAAAAAAAGGCTGATGTAAATCAACTCCCTCATTGTCATGGCTTGATGAAACTTCTTCCCAGGTCACAGACACCATACAGTTCCTTGCCCATTAAAAATTCTCCCCTGTTTTGGTTTCTGAGGTAATGTTATTTGTGTGTTGTTTCCCATGTCATCCTCTTAGGCTGGATGATTGATGCTGACAGCCGCCCCAAGTTTCGGGAGCTGATTGCCGAGTTCTCCAAAATGGCTCGAGACCCGCAGCGTTATCTTGTTATACAGGTATTGATTACGCATAGAACAGAGCTGCTTTTCCAAAGGAACCAGGATTTCTAATAGCCATTTGGAAGGACATTCGTGTGTAATAACAGGAAATGTAAAATGATAATAATACATGGGGTGCTTAGAGATAAACATATCGAAAATCCTCTGATTCCTTGACCAAATATGAAAAGAAGCCAGACCAAGTGAACTCAGCAATCCATGTTCATGATAGTCTTTTGCATAAAGAAAGCTACAACACCATATTGATTTGTTCTGCCTACTTGACTAGTCTGTTTCCAAGATATTGCAATAAAATCTTAAGTTTATTAGTATTCACTTAAAAGGACAGAGTAAATATGGCGGTGATAGGAAAGAATCTAAAAATGTCCAAGTATTCCATCTTCCTTAGAATCAGCAGAAGTAGACCTATTAAGCCATTTAGTCTGGTGGTGCTCAGGCTTTCAACCCGATGGGCTAGTTAAGTGGCATGGGGCCAGTCTGCGGGTTAGATTGGACCCTGCATGCTAGGATCGGGTGCGCAGGGCAACACGGAGCCCCAGAGACATATCTGTGTGGAGCTCCACAGGCTGGATGACAGTGGTGCCAGGGACTAGATCTGGCCCAGAGCTGGGGGTTGAGCAACCTTAGCCCATTCTTCTGTCAGTGCAGTGTTGCTCCATGCTATATGTTTGCTGATGTTTGATATTCAAAGAGAAACTGCTTCAGACAACATCAGCAGTCACAGTAGAGACCTCAAATAGTCTCTGCATTTGGTATAAGAAAAAAAAACACCAGAGCAGACTTCTTAACATGTTCTGTGGAATTACTAAGAAATGTCACAAAATTTGTTATTTGCTAACATCACAACAAGATTGAAAAATGCACTGTGAGGTGCTTTGCTCACAACCATACTTTAAGTTGTGCTTTACTGGAACTTGTCAGAACTAGAAATACTTACTTGGACCTGCATATGTGTTTTCAGAACTAATAATTTTTTTCCAAGAATATATTCCTGTCCAAGATTATGATAATCCCTGTTGCAATCCTGAGAAGAGGGTAGATTTTGAAGGTTTTTAAAGGTTTTTATAAAATAGATATTCTAGATGAAAAACTTAAGGTCCAAACTCCCTGAATAATCTAGATCAGTGGTCACCAACCAGTGGTTCTCAATCCACCGGTAGATCTCAGAGCCTCTTGGAGTAGATCCAAGGCTGGGGTCAGGGGCTGAGTGCTCGTGTGCATGCTCACACCCCAGCTTAGCGGGTCAGTCCATGGGGGAGGGAAGGGGCAGGGGCTAGATCAAGGCCCCTGTGGTGAGGGACAGTGCTGCAGAGGCAGGAGCAGGGGTAAATTGAGTGGAGTCCTGGCCAGGTGAGAATCACCTGCTGGGGAGGCATGCCCCCAAATAATTTTTTCTCCCTCTGCCTCAATCTGCTCCACCTTCCCTCCCCACAGACTTAACTGGGGCAGGTGGTGGTGGTGCACGGTAGATCTTGGGTTGCTTTTAAATGCCAAAGGTGATTTCCTACTTAAAAAAAATAGGAGACCACTGATATAGATAAATCTGGATAAACAGATGCCAGTTTTGCAGCATCTGCTAAGAGCATGCTTTTTTACCAAGGGGTAGGGAAGGGGAGGGGGCTGCTCAGTTATGGAACAACTTTATAAAGGTGTCCAGGATACTACTCACACTCTGGTTTATTTGGCAGGGAGATGAAAGAATGCACTTGCCAAGTCCTACAGATTCTAAGTTTTATCGCACCTTGATGGAAGAGGAGGACATGGAAGATGTTGTTGATGCAGATGAGTACCTCATTCCACAGCAGGGATTCTTCAACAGCCCTTCAATATCCCGGGCTCCCCTCTTGAGCTCATTGGTATGAAACATCTTGTCCATGCACATAAACCAAACTTTTTAGAATTAGTATTGCCAAAATGGTAAAACAATTTTCTCTCTCAAAATAATTTTCTTTCCTTCTTATTTCTAGAGTACCACCAGCAACAATTCAACCACAACCTGCATTGATAGAAATGGGGTAAGTGTGAGCCCACTTTTTACCTCCTTCCCCTCTTCTGTATCCAGGCCCCTTCAGACCAACCCTTGTGAAATAATATCCATTCAATCTTTGTTTTCTTATCCCATACTACTTAACTAGCAAGGGCATCCAGTGAAGGAAGACAGCTTTGTCCAGCGGTACAGTTCAGACCCAACCGGCATTTTCTTGGACAAGAGCATAGATGATGGCTTCCTGGCTGCCCCTGGTGAGTGCATCTGTTGGGCTTTGCATCCTCAGGTTTTATTGGCAAGCAATGTAATTCACAAGGAGGTCATCTGCCTCTCTCTATTATTCAGCATCCTTAAGAATCCCCACTTTTTCCACTTTTTTCCTCGACCTTTTCTCATAGCTTCTGACCATTTACCTAATGCTTCCACCAATCTGATTACTATTTCTTATTGTAGGTGTGCTCTCTGTATGCATGCAATAAGATTTTCTGCTAATGATGCATTTCAGAAAACCTCTTCTAAGAACCATTTTTTTTCCCATTCCTAACTGTTTTTATTGTAGGAGCTTTGCATTGATGGTAATTTTACTACTTTCAAAGCAGAAATGAGTGCAAGCAGAACCAATGGGACAATGGGATAGAGTAGGGTTGTGTATGCAGAGTTTCATATGTACTTATATAATTGGCAGGAATCTGAAATGGTTGACTTCAAAAGAGGAGTATGGTGTTGCATGTTGATCCTTTAGTAGAACTATATATTTGCATTATAAAACCTGCAGTGTGAGAGAGCAGGTTCTTCCAACAAAACTTCCCAGCTAAAATATCAGAACAATACCAGGGACCAAGCCACACATACATCACTATAATCAGCAGCTAAATCCATGAAGTTACCCTCAAATTTCATTCTCCAAGCCCTTGAGTAGTGCTGTTTAATGGAACTTCCTGCATTTGGCTCTATTTTAGAATCTTGATGAAAATCTCGAGGGACTTCATAGGCTGTCACCTAAAAAGATTATGTTTTGACATGATTAAAACTATATGTCAAGCCATTGGAATGACTGTTATTTATGTCTTCATTTTCTTCCTCTCTCTTTTCATTTCAGAATATGTAAATCAGTCGATCCCGCAAAAAGCAACTGCCTCTGTGGTACAGAATCCAATCTACAACAACTTATTGCTCCCAGCAAATTCAAAGCCCTCTACAGACTCCAGATGTCAGAATTCCCACAGCACAGCAGTGGACAACCCAGAATATCTCAACACAAACCAGTCTCCTTTTGCCAAAACGATTTTTGAGAGCTCCCCTTATTGGGACCAAACTGCCAATCGCCAGATAAATCTGGACAACCCTGACTACCAGCAGGACTTTTTACCTAAGGAAACAAAGCCTAATGGCCTGTTTAAAGTTCCTGCAGCAGAAAATCCTGACTACTTAAGGGTAGCAACACCAAAAAGTGAATATATTGAAGCCTCAGCATGACCACAGAGAATCCCTTCTTGCAGTAATAAGAATGGAAATCCAGGTGAATACTTTGACTGTTGCAAGATATGAACAGGTAGAACAGCATCCACAATGCACGCTTTTTCCTTTCGAGCATGTGGGCTGAGTTCACCAAACTCATTTTACAGCATAAGGTGGGCCTTTCCTTGCCCATTTCCATACGTAACTTAGGCACATACCATCCACTTGTATGCATGTTGGGAGAAAGCAAAGACTTCTGCAAATAAGAAATTACAGGTACATTCCTTTTGTTTTCAAATGGTAGCATTATAAAAAGCCATTTGGGGATGAATGTTAAGAGCTGTCCTCATTGTAAAGTTGAATTCCTTTCTACAGTGCACATTTTTTTGTAAACTTTTCTGTCAGGAGTTTTTTGGATCTCTGAGAAGATCACAAGCTTGTACTGTTGGACGGTTGTGTGACCTTCAGATAGCCAGAAAAGGAAAAGAGCAAGACATTATTTAATACTGTAAGAAGAGTTTTGCAAAGCTTTTGGAACATCAGTAGTTGTTCCAAGTAATTGCACCTTGGATATTGGCTCCATTTCCTGCTTCTTCATACAACCAGGGAGAAGAAAACATCTGGGAGAACTGGGGAGATTCTGCTCAGTAAGGTGTTTTTTAATGGAACAGGTTGGATGGCAGCCCACATTCCCTACTGACCACTACTGTTGAAAACCAACAGGGAGAACTCAGCACATAGAAGAGTTGCTTATTAAGTGCTTGCTAGGTTATTGTCTGTAAGGTGAATACCATGCTTTCAGTCTGTTCCATTGTTTAGCTCTAGACTTGTCAAACATTACACTTTTTAAATGAGACTTTTAAAGATGTTGCTGAAACTGAAAAATGAAGAACCAAATTCCCTTCAACTCAACCTTTATTGGGCAAACCTGCTAAATGTCAAGGAAATGCAAAAAGTTTGTAAGTGGAATCAAAAGCAAGACAGCAAGTGATTAGAATACAAATGGGCAAAATTTAAACTTGGCATGGACAAAAATGCAAAAAATTTGGCCCAGGAAATAAGTTGTTTTTTTTTTTTAAATAGCTCAAACAATTAATCCTTTTCTTGTAAAAATAAATTGGTAAAGAAAGGATTTAAAAATGCATGAGCATTATTATTTAATTATGTAGTTATTAAATTGTTTATTATTATTATTATTATTATTTAAAAAATAACCCCATTGCAGAGGAAAGCCATAGCTGAGGCACAACAGGGGAACAGTTTGTCACTTAGTTATCTACTGTGTTAAGCTCTCCCTGTCCTGGGATTGGAAGGAATCGGAGAAACAACAAGAGTATAACTCAAAACATGAATAGATTTGATCCATTTGACTCTTCTGCCATGTAAGGCTAGAGAAAATTCTAAAGGAGTCTATGCCTCCTTTGATAATCCCAGCATGAATGTCTGATGGTCACAGTGGAATAGTCAGTCATTCCAGGTAAATATTTGTCTTGATAAGAAAAATATACCTTATATTGATTTTTGTATATAAAACTTACTATACCAGAAGCTACCTAGATTGCCAGAAGCTTCTTTGATTGTGTGTAGGCTGGGAGGGAGAACTACTTCCAGAACTACTGGAAACTTGTCAGTATTTTTTGTTAATGTTTTTCCGTATCTTGTTTGAAAGGAGTAGGGAAAAATAATACTGAAAGCACCCATTCCAAGAATAATAGTAATAACGAGACATCTCCCACCTTATTTGGAAAGTGATACAACCGGCTGCAATACTGTTGGTATGTAAAACTAGGAAACTGTCAAAATATACCATGAATATAAATTGAATTATCCTGTTTTGTAGAATACTGAAGTGTAGCTTCGCACTGATAACCTGCACAGATGCAGTAAAGTGTCGAGAACAATCCAGAATCTGGTGCAAGAAAGGAAATATGGTTGACAGTCATGTGTTGTCCTATCCTTAGGTATATCCCTCTCACAATGACTGAATCCCAGTCAGAGCCTTATAGGGAATGCAATGTCTCACTTTGATTCTTATCTCATTTTATTTAAAGCATTAAATAAAATTCTGCTCTCCAATACAAATTTACACTTGTATATCTGAGAACAAAATTCAGTGAATTGTGTTGTGAAAATGCAATAGATGCATGTTACAAGACATTTTCTTTTTTCATTAACAGTCTCATAGGGTAAGGATAGATGTGCATAAAAGATTGTAACAGAAGCCATAAACAGTTAATTAGCATGGTAAATCTATTGCATCTCCCAACAATATAGCATAATACAATATTATGTATTTCATTATAGAGTCTTTAGTATACCACAGAAGGATTAAGGGTTAAAAATGTTATTTAAAAACAATACACACTTAAGATGTAGCACGATTTTAGCAGCGTTATGTAGCATGGAAACTATTTAATACAGGTTAACCTCCCTGTACTTTTAAACAAGGGTTTTATAACATAGCTACCTTTAAATCTGAGTCATGTAACTCTGTTTATTCAGAGAGTTTCAGAAATTTAAAGTTGAGTTGTTCTTCTTTTTTCTTTATATTCTTTTTAATCAGAAACTCGATATATATGTGCTACCTTCTCATGCAGATATTCTCTCTAGTTTATGAACTATCAACCTATGTCCTGACTCCAAGCTTACAAACTAGCAGTATTTTAAAACAATGTTAATAAATAAACATCAAATAAGCCATGATTTTTCTAATAGGCAGCTCATCGCTTACTTGATGCTTACAAATGCATGTGACACAGCACTGGGTGCATCAGGTCGCATGCGAAGCAGACTTAATTAATCGAGTCTGCTCCGACATGCTAGATCTTCATGCCCCCCTCCCTTCCTTGCTATGCTGGATACCCAGACACCCCTGCTACTGCACACCCCTACTATTGCTCCCGGTGCCTCCCCACTGCAAACCATGCTCCCATGTCCCAACTTGTCATTAGCTTTCCAGCTGTGAGCTTCCCCACTCCACCAAGGCACTCAGGCTTGCTGGGCTACAGACTCCCCCAGCACTGACAGCTCTGCTGTGCCACCTTTCCCCCTTGGGCAGGGGCAAAAGCAATCAGGAGAGGCTGGAGAGCAGGATCCTGGACACCTCAGCTACTGTTGTAGCTGGAGCAATGGGGCGAGCAGCAGCCAGGTAGTATCGGGGGGGTGCAATTTAACCCCTTGTGGGCCAGCAGTTAGACAGCTCCATATGAAACTATTTCCAATGCTATTTAAGAATATTATTGTAAATAAATGGTGTAAATGATCTGTTTGTTGTACTTCAGCCCAACAGTGATGCCAAGCAGGGATCCTGCTTAGAACCGTAGGTAACTGAAAGAATAAAACGTGGCTACATGCCCACTTCACAGTTACGGGATTTTGCTAGATGTGCTATTCTGTGAACTCAGGCCACTAGAGGGCAACAATAAGCTTAAATCCCCGAGTGCTGGTAAAGGAGAATGTTTTTACACTATTTAATATGGAAGGACTTCCTGATTTTGATGAGTTGGCAATGATATTGAATTGCAAGATTAGCAGAAAAGAAGCACCCCTTGTGTAAAGGTTTATTATAAATAAAACATTTTCTAAATACTAGAATTTTAGAGACCAAAGCAACTTTAAGAGGTCTTGTATTGCCTGTTAACAAGAAAAAATTGCCTAAACTATGAGATCCTGCAGACCACAACAGATTTTGTAGAATTCCACGTCAGAAGTGTTTGAAGTATATTGGTGACGATGTTTTTCAATGTAGGGAGGAATGCTGCTGGTGAAGAGTATATGTACTTGATATTTCACAACCTGTAACAATTCAACTATTTTAAAAAATAATTTCACAGTAAAACCCTACACACACAGATCATTACAAATTCTGATCAACTGCAGAATGCCAAGTAATCCAAGATGAAGTCATAATCTTCACATCAGTTTAGTCTTGTTCAGCGTTTTTGCACACTGCCCAGCTTAGATTGGCTTGAAATTGCTTTGTTTGAACTAGGAGAGTTGGGTTGGGAAATGTAGTTAAAGTGAATTCACTGCCAAGTTTGATGCCTTAGGCTACAAACAGACATCGCATTTATCCCAGGATAAATCCTAAAACAGTTTACTAGCTAAGAAGTACTAACGGTTTATCCAAGGATATTGCAGAGTACATGCTGGGATTACATCAAATGGTAGAAAAGCAGTGCTGCATTCAGCCAGTCAGTAAACTGTGATCAGAAGGACAGCACGTACATGCCAATCCTGGGATATGAGTCAAACAAGTTGAGCACTTCATATTGGAGAGTACCTGAGATATCTTGAGTCTGAGCGTGACTCACAACTGTCAGCAAGACATTTTGCATTTCCTGACAAGCATGCATTTTTCAGAGTAAAGTTCAACATCTGCTATAGCACACAAGCTGCTACCTCTTCAATGTCAGTGGTTAAAACTGCTCTAGCTTTTTTCTTTTTTCTTTTACATTTCTCTGTGAGAACATTTTAATTGAGACAAAGTAATCATGTGTATTTGTATTCCCCCTTCTTATTGAAAATGTACACTAATGAAACCTTAAACTCTGTATAATAACACTGCCAAGCATGACATGTTTTATAGTGCTGTTAGATCACCACTAAACCAGACTTTTTGTACTGAAATCCCTGTTTTCTACCTTTGTTTCCTCATCGTGTTTGGTTTCTTCTGCGCTCAAACTTACAACTTGTTAAGAAGACTTTAAAAAAAAAGAAATAGAGAAAAAAATAATTTATATAAAAGAAAAACAAGACATATTTTAATAGCTTTTTAAACAGGCTGCATTTAGGACCAAAGATATAATGTCTTATTTTATTGCTTTAAATGAACTGACTGTAAATTCCACAACATCTTATCTAGGAGAGTGGGGAAGAACAGGTCCCTGGCGCTAGCCCTGCCACACAATATGCAGGAAGTTCTGCTACAAGGTGTGGGTCTCAGCATGAAAAAAGACTTGCCATACAAATGCAGTCTGGAGAATTGGGACTATGTAGGACTTGTGCCAAATCTGGAGCCTTGACTCAATTTTGTCTCAAAAAAAATCTACTCAGAAGAAGAAGAAAAACTTTCATTGAATTTAATGGGATGTTTGTCCAATTAAGGACTTGAGTGAAAAATGAATAAAGTCGGCTTTGGCTCAGTGTCAGGCAAAATATAGATTTGCAGAGGGTGAGTGATTTACATCACTGCTTTTTAGGTATGTGGGCAGACAATAAGACTAGAGACTCGCAAGCATGTTTTTGGCTAAATATTAATTATGGGGGAGCTCAAAACATGAACGTTTCATGAGAAACGTCTGTTTCCCTGCCATTCCTTCTGCCTGCTTTGGATGCTGTACACAATTTGAGGGCTCCTACTTCTCATTAACCCTATGGACTCAGAATTATAGTTGGAATTTTCTATTAATATTAATGGCAGTCAGTGCACATATATCCTTTATCCACCTAAATGGAAATTGGTACTTGCATGGTTCAGAAGGCTGGAATATTCTTAGGCTCTGATACAGTCAATGCACAGCAATCACTCAGCAATATCTTAATTAAGGAAAAATGTTTTTTAAGACATAAAAAGAGTATCTGGAACATGGCTGCCCAAAACCACATAATATATTGAGCCAAATCTCAGTCCAACTAAAGCCAATGAAGAAATGCCTTAAGCCAGACTGCGGTCCTTTATGTTTTGCTGTTTTCTACATCTTGCCCTTACCCTTTTCTAACTTCATGGTGGTAAAAGAAGGGCAAGGGGGCATGGATATGGGCGTGACACAGAGGAAACTATGCCACCTCATTGTAACGCCTCTCTACTAGTTTCATGAGGGATTTATCTACATGTAGCAATCAGTGTAACCATCTTAACCCTCCCAGTTGTCCTGGAGTTTGCCCAAAACATCCTTTTAATATTTTATAATCAATCTGAAGGGTAGAGATTTTCCAAAGCCATCAGTGTTGCTTTGGCAGTTTGTGAAAGGGGTTGTGTGAAACCGAGAGGCCTGTGATAGCTGGGGCTTATGTTCCTAATTCTGTACCCACTGAAATCAGTAGGAGTTTTAGCACTGTGTTTGTACTGCATCGAAGCACAATGAAACTAATGTTAAATGGTTTTGAAAATCCTTCCTTCCCACTACACATAGAGATCCTATGGATCCAATGCCCATTTTAAGCTGGTCTTTAATAATGCAATCAACTGAGCGTGAGGAATAATGTCTTGGTTTTAACGTACTCTTAAGCAATATCTCTATGGGTATAGATGGTACCTTTTCATAATTGTAAAAGTTTTCCAACTATGGAAGCATTGTTTGTACAAATAAACACTGTCTTTTTATATGGTTTCATGATTTATACTATTGATTAAAGATTGTTTGTATATTGAGCGATAAAAATAAGGTGTATATTATTCTTTTAAATTGTTTTTAATTTTTGAAGTGCATTTATTGTAATATACTGTTGCATTGTGGGGATCATGTTGGCTGGTTTGTAGGGTAATTATCTGTGGATGAGCTAACAGTAAAGGTTCTTTACTGATAGACTTTGAAATGTAAAATGGTGTCACCATGGGGATTTATCCAGAGCCTAGTGAAGCTGATAACATAAGGTATCTACTCTCCCTCTAGTAGTTTTTAGCTCCCCTTCTGCCCATTTTTTACTATTGGTGTTTCATAGTGTGAGATATGATACCAGCTACTGTAGATGCAATAAGAAACCCCAGCTGATGTTTATCAAGGTGTTGGTGAAATGTACCCTCCTGAAATGGAGAGCCATATCTCACTTTAATTTACCACAAGCATAGATACCAAATCAAAGCAACCCCTTGCTTTTAAGTTCTTAGGTATTTTACTGTTGGCCATTTAGAAGTTAGGTGCAATTGTGAGTTGTACAACAGAAGTGTAAGGTGAGGGGGTATAAATATATTTAAGAAAACCACAATCATTAAAAGACTTCTGTACATGGGGGATTAAATAAGAAAATGAAGAAAAAGAAAGTAAAGAAAATAAAATGTAGAACCTACCACACTGAGCAAGAGAATAATGGGTCGTGTGTAACAAAGCAATGAAATCTGTATGGTAATACAGTAAGGAGAAGATGTGCCTGTCAGTGAAATAATGGGAACACTAGGATTGCAAAAATAATGGGAAATGCTGTCAACTAATCCTGTACAAGGAAGCCCCAGGGTCTTCTATATACGTGGCATAAAACAATCCAAGATGTGTAAATCTCCCTTGAGTGTAAAAAGTTGCACAGAAGGATCAAAGGAAGCACATAGTCCTAAATGTAATGGAGATTTCCATCAGGTTTAGAAAAGGGAGCAAAAGCTATTCTGTAATCCTTTAAAAGGAAAATACCTTTTTGTTGCAGAGATGGTAAAGAACAGCTAATTTGGAACTGGGATCATGAAGCACAAGATCAGCCTGGATAAGTCCCCTTTCAAATGACTTGTAATTTAAAAAAATTTTTTTTTGCTTTATACGTAAATTTTGTACACAGGAAAAAGCCACTACAGCACCTCAACATTATTTTCTTTTCATCTGATTCCTTCCAATACTGCATGTGGAACCACCTTGACATATTTTATGCAGAAACTGTCTAGTCTTAAAACACCTATTACGGAAATGTCTAATGCACATTAATGCATGATATTTTTATTTTAATAAAATTAATTGAATATACTTTTGTTGTGTGAGATTTTTCCCTTCTAGGCTACATCCAGACCAGCATGTATGTGGCACCACAGACCATGCATGCAGGCATTCCCCACACTGCTACTTTGCAATGCAGGGGGAGAGGGGTTGACCCTGGGAGGTCCAAAAAAAAAAAAAGGGTGGCACATGTGGTGGCAGCATGCACCATCCAAAGCTGGAGCCATACTCCAGCTGCTGGCCAGGCTTCCTGCTGCAGGCGTGCCATGGCTGCAGCTCCCGGAGGTCCCCTGGACACCAGATAAGGCTGCTGGGGCCAGCACAGTTGCCTGGGATAACCTGCACACAAGGTGTGCCACTGCTACTTGTCACTGGGGACACACTTTCCCACTCATGTGGATGCACCCATAGAGTTGAGAAGTTTTGGCTTGAAGGAGGAATTTCAGTATATTCCAGTTTTCTCCCTATGTTATAACAATGCAGCTGGACTTTATAGCACTTCATGAGAAGAGAACGGAACAATTTGCAAACATGAATTTATTTTCATTGCTATCCACTGAGGCCGAAAATAGTATTTTCACCATTTAAAAGATGCGCAAGGCGAGGCACATGGGTTGCATGATTTGCCTGTGGTCAGACAAAAAACTGGTGACAGTACAGAGCATACAGTCCACAGCCAAGATACGCAAAAGCAGGAGCCTGCATTTAGCATGCATGGAGAAATAGCTTGATATTCAAACATGTTTCCATTCGGCACATTCCATTGACTTCTGTGACAGCATCAACTAAAGGAAATCTAAAGAATGACAAAAAGTAATGGGAAGGACATGCACTAGTGTTCAAAGTAAACTTGATAAAACACCTAGCATACAGGATAAACTAGCACTAATGTACTGTATTCAGTCTTGGATGCCTTTTCCAACTGATGTTGAACTGAAGATACGAAAGTTGAATCTTCTCGTGTCCTTGCTAACTAAAATTGGGGGTGTCCAAATTTTGGTTCCAACTCATCTCAACTTTTCTCCACCTGTGTAATGGCATTAGTTAGTTCCTTAGTGTAAGAGAGTTCAATAGCACCTATTCTCTCTAACAAATTCAATCTTTCCCTCTCAAAATACATCAGCACATGCAGTTTAGGTTAGCAAAGTTGGACATTAACACATATTTCTTCTTAGTTACCTATCTGTGTCTTGCTTTCATCAGATCTGAGCCAGCTTTCCATGTAGGTGAAGTAAGCAGCCATCTCTTTCAATGGGCTCTCAAGGGCAGCAAATTCCCCAAAATGAAACGTGTATTCTTCATCAGCAATAACTGCTTTTGTTATTGGCTATGTTGGGAAAATTGCTCTTGGACAAAGGCATACCACAGGCAGTACTTTCTATTTGCTTGTGGCAGTTTGTACTTCATTATTTAGCAGTGCCTAGGGTAGCTCAAATGTGTATGTATGCACCATCAGCTAATGGTCTTCGGTGATAGAATAAACCAGGGATTTTCAACCTTTTTGGATCAGTGTTCCCCCCAGCAGCCAGATGTGGAACATGGGGTTGGGGGGAGAGGAGGGCACAACTGGATGCGTACCCCTGATTGACAACCTCTGGAATAAACCGTTATGGCTAAAATAAAAGGTCATAACCAGAGATCCCAGTTTTCCCTGATAAATCACAAGTTCCCTGATAAAAACACGCAAATGATATGATTAAAACCCCAAACTCCATGATTAAAATGAAAGGCCACCATATATATAGGGGTGTGTGTGTGTGTGTGTATATGGGGGGGTGTATATATATATATATATATGGGGGGTGTATATATAGGTGCGTGCGTGTGTGTGTGTGTGT